TGCCGCCTTGACCCTGGGGTCAAGCGATCGTCCCTCCTCACCCTCTGTAGTAGCGGGGACTGCAGGTGTGTGCCACCATGCCCAGCTCATTTACTGTGTTTCATTTTTTGGTGAAGCTGGGATCTCGCCGTGTTGCCCAGGCTGGTCTCCAACTCTTGGCACTAAGCAGTCCTCCCACCTCAGCCGCTGAAGGTACTGGGATTACGGACACGCGCCACCAGCCTCACCTTCGTGATGTTTTCAGATTTTCTGGTGTTGGCCGGGCACGGTGGCTCAAGCCTGTCATCCCAGCACTGTGGGAGGCCGAGGCGGGTGGATCACGAGGTCAAGAGATCGAGACCATCCTGGTCAACACGGTGAAACCCCGTCTCTACTAAAAATACAAAAAATTAGCTGGGCATGGTGGCGCGTGCCTGTAGTCCCAGCGACTCAGGAGGCTGGGGCAGGAGAATTGCCTGAACCCGGGAGGCGGAGGTTGCGGTGAGCCGAGATCGCGCCATTGCACTCCAGCCTGGGTAACAAGAGCGAAACTCCGTCTCAAAAAAAAAAAAAAAAAAAAAAAAGAAAAAGATTTTCTGGTGTTTACCCTGCCCTCACATCTGCCCTTTCTCAGCAATGATTTGTGCGTCTCCCACAGAGGCTGTCATTACGCTTTGCTTCCTGTCTGGAAGGTGCTCCCCACGCGGAGTATATTGCGTGTTTTGCATATTGCTTGTCACCTCTCACAAGAATGTAAGGTCTGTGTGGCTCAGGGTTCATGAGTTAAGTTCAGTTCCCTGGGCTGTCAGCCTCGCCCCTCCTCCTGCGCACACGGGGGAGACGGGGCCTTGCTGAAGTGGGCTGTGTGGGATGTTTCAGGACTCAGTGGTCTTTGAGGAAGTGGCTGTGAGGTTCACCCCGGAAGAGTGGGCGTTGCTGAGTCATGCTCAGAGGAGACTCTACAGGGATGTGATGCTGGAAATCTGCAGGAACCTGGCCTCCTTGGGTAAGGATTCATGCCTTCACTACGTCCCTGGAGAGCAAAGATACCTTGGTTTGCTTTTTATTTGAGGTCAGAAATAGAAATATGTTGGAAAGAGACAGACATGATCCCAACCCCCGTGGAATGTGGAGTCAAAAGTCTTCTCCATGAAAACAAAGTTGTGTGTATTATTGATATTTTGATTTTTTTTTTTTTTTGAGACAGAGTATTACTCTGTCGCCAGGCTGGAGTGCAGTGGTGCGATCTCGGCTCACTGCAACCTCCACCTCCCGGGTTCAAGTAATTCCCCTGCCTCAGCCACCCGAGTAGCTGGGATTACAGATGAACACCACCACGCCTGGCTAATTTTTTGTATTTTTAGTAAAGACGGGGTTTCATTATGTTGGCCAGGATGGTCTCAATCTCCTGACCTCATGATCCGCCTGCCTCAGCCTCCCAAAGAGCTGGAATTAGAGGCGGGAGCCACCTCGCCTAGCCCTTTTTTTTTTTTTTATTTTTGAGATGGAGTCTCACTGTGTCTCCTAGGCTGGAATGCAGTGGCACGATCTTGGCTCACTACAACCTCTGCTGCCTGGGTTCAGGTGATTCTCCTGCTTCAAGTCTCCTGAGTAGCCGGGATTACAGGCGCCTGCCACCACAATGGCGTGAGCCATTGCGCCTGGCCGATATTTTGGTTTCCTTAGTCACCAGTCTTGAGGCTGCCCACATTTTATAAGTGTGAGCATAGTACCCTGTGTCCCACTGGGGCAGTGAAAACAGCTTTGTGGTTCACCCCACAGAGTAACTGTACCTTGAAAAACCAAGTACGCTGTGATAAAGTAAATCACAGTTCCACTGTGAGTAATCCACGTTTGATGTGGTAATTTTGCTGCAGTTAAAACTCACACGCGGCCGGGTGCGGTGGCTCACGCCTGTAATCCCAGCACTTTGGGAGGCCGAGGCGGGTGGATCACGAGGTCAAGAGATCGAGACCATCCTGGTC